GGGTTGGAAAGCAGTAATGAAATTAATGTAATTCTCATTTCTTATTCAGAATTATATTAGAAGCTTCAAACCTGCAAAATTATCTTGTTGTTGCCAGGATAAGAATCCTATATTAAGAACATCTGTGAACCCCAAGGTCGACTTTTCTTCTAGTACCTATAAGAAACGCAACTGCTGGCCTTGCTTTTGAACGTCTCTCTCTAAGCGTGGATTTTGATTCTTCTGCGTTGTCTCCAATATAGGTACAATATATTGTGCAATTTATTTTTAGCATGATCAATGTGCTAAAATAAAAATACAAGAATCAATTTATACCTTTCAAGGACACCAAGACAATACCACGTACTAGTGCTGGATTACTTCAAAAACTGCCTTCTGTCTGCTCAAACAGCGAAAGTTACTAATTTGAGTTTAATTCCAGTTTTGAACACCCTCAAATCTCCACAAAAAAATCAGCAAGTTTCATTCACATGCATACAAGCCCTGGGAAAATGAGGGTTCCTTCCTCCCCACCTGCACCCTTTGAAGAGAACGCTCCCTGTGAATTGATAGGAAAGAGCTTTCTACAAAAGAAAACAAATGGTGAAATAGTACAAAAATGTTTTCAAGATATGAGTAAAGTAACTATTATGGTACAAGGCAAATTCATTTGATGGAAGATGGCAAGTGATGTGCTATGAAAGACTGTTTAAACCTTAATGCCCGTGTCAAAACTCGCACAGTGACGCTGCTGCTTTCAAACTGAAACTGTAAAAGAGTGAAACCATCTTAGAGTCATTAATTTTCAATGCACCTTTCTTCTGCCTTTGAAATTCTGGAAGATTTACTATATAGTCTAGAGAGTAGGGGGTTTATCAGTTCCAGACTGATGAGGTTGTAGCAATTCCAAATTGTTCAAGTAGTGCACGATGAGGTTATCTATAACTACTCAGCAGAATAGGCACTGCCAGTCTCACTGTCTTTAACATACAAACAGCATCCTTCAAGGACAAGTGGCTGTTGGTTCTAACAAGTACCCAGACCTGCAGCCTGCACTGTTCTAGCCAGCATGCAGAAGAGTACATCCAAGCTCCAAGTCTACGTGTCTTCTGCCCAGCAGTACATATTATGCCAACCAAAAAAAAAAAAACCCCAACACCCCCAAAATTATGCCCATTAAAACAAATAACATCATCAGACTGTAAGGACGGAGATCTGAAGAACTTTCATAGACACTCCTGAAAAACAGCAGAGCTCAAAGTTCAGAAGTAGATAAGATGTAAGAATAAAATAATGTTTTCCATTAAGAATCACTCACATTGCACATTAGGAAAAGGTTCTTCACCGAGAGGGTGGTCGGTCACTGGAACGGGCTCCCCGGGAGGTCACAGCACCAACACCTGTCAGAGTTCAAGAAGCATCTGGACAAGGCTTTTAGTCATAGGGTTTAGTTTTAGGTAGTCCTGTGAGGAGCAGCGAGTTGGACTCGATGATCCTTATGGGTCCTTTCCAACCTGAGACATTCTACGATATCTTAATCACAGCGTAGAACGTAACAGGCCGAACAACGGCCGGTTCATTTTGTCAGGAAAACCGGCAAGTGTTTATTCGATTCACCTCTGTCAGCTCTCAGGCAGCCACGTCTCCCCAGTTTTAAAGACCAAACCCAACACTAAAACCAGAAACTTGATCCATCTTCTATTTACAAGCGAGATGTTCCTTGCTAGCGTGTAAAAAAAGTCTCACTGAGCTACACATTATGCTTGTTTGTTTTAAATACTGTTAGATAACAGAAATACGAAACCATAAAATAATCATTTAAACATTTTACGACCCTGAGCTCAAGTGCCAAGAGCGAAAAAAGTTTGACATTATTCCTGTTCTTGAGTGCCTCACTGCAAGTTGCATATCGTTTTAGGGTAGTCTCAAAGGCACATTACCTCCATACAAGGTAAGTACTAATCAAGCCACAAAGTGTCCACCCCACACAACGCTATCTTTGCACGACTAGAAACAGCCCTGCGCAACAGCACGTCTCGGCCTCCTAAAAAAATGGTACCCAACCCCACTAACGGTCACACCGTTGGTCATAATAATGCAAAGAAACAGGCAACAAATTAAGCATATTACAAAAACACTCATCTTTTCAGCTCAGAGGTAAACTTGGTCTGTCACTTACTGGGGTAGAACTGACTGAAACCACCAAAGGGAAGCACTATCTTTTAAACCGCATGCCCTGAGCTCTACCTCCTCCTCTCTTCAATACACTGAAGATAGCTACTACGTGCTCAAGAGACACAACGTGGCAAAGACAAAAACACCCAGGTGGACTGCATCGAGATATAAACTAATTTCCCAGTGACAAAAGCCTAAATTCAGCTTAAAGAACTCTTTCAGAAATCTGTAATTCAAGATTTGGTTGGGAATACAAGGTGGGTGACTAACTTTTGGTGTGAGCAGCAATATAAATTAGGCCATCTAAGAAGCATATGAGCTGCGTAAACAGGAGAGTCAATAATTCAGGCAGGCATGACAATACAAAGCAAATAATCACCTTTATCCAGAAAGATAAGTTAGTCTGAGATAATACACTGAACCAGCAAGCTCACACAGCTAATGCCTTTAGGAAGGAAGGATAAGGCACTGTCCGGTGGACTAGCAGTTTAAACTGCTCCGGAAAAGATGCTGTCCTTTAACCTGCTTGTCTTAAGATGCTGAACTTGTTAATTCTGTTGAATTTCCCCCCTTAAAAATGCAATGTTAAAAACAGAGTAAAACCTTTGACTTAGGTTGTTTTCAGAAGAAAAAAACAAAACCAAAACAACAAAAAACAACAAAAAGGAGAATTTAGTCCCACTTTCCAGAAACATTCAAACCAAACCCAAAGTTGGTATAATTTGTCTTTGCTTTTCTTGAAGGAAGCACTTCAGCAACACAAACCCACCCGTTGACTTACTACGCACGGTGAAGCTGATAGCCAACGTTACGCCTCGTTTGCCACCACAAGGAGAAAGCAGCAAACGCGCTGGAATCCGCTCCCTGCTCAACACTGTCGAAGGTGCGCACGGCAACGCAGATTTGTTAAGCAGAAGCGAGAAGTCACAGCAAATCTCAACCCTGAATTTCCTGCCTTCTGCAATGCCCATTTTCCTTTTCTTGCTGAAATAAGTACTTTATAAGATACCACGTTGCAATACTTTTAGACCAGTACGGCAGTAGGTTCATCCCAGATAATGAGGAGAATCTGTTGACATCATGTCACATCATGACAGGCTGTTAAGCGGGTTAGATAGTTTAATCTTCTTCCACAGAAAGGAAGTTCATAAGTCTCGGAAGGAAAAAATACAAGGCATATTGTTGCTATGAACCAAATAATAGAAAAAAACTGTCCCAGATTTTAGAATTCTGAATAGCAGCCTAATACTGTAAATTTATTGAGAAGAAAATCATTTTGCAAAACTGGAATACAATTGATTTACCATGATGATTTTGTTTGTTTGTTTTTAGCATTTAAAAATCATTTAATAACAGGCCTGACCATAAAATAGTGGCACAACAGAATTGTAGGTTGCAAATGTGACGTGGAATGCATAGACCTCCGGGGCAGACCAGCCACAGTAAATACAACAGTCGTAATCATGAGTGTAAATTCACTTTCATAACTGGTTTTTTTCTTCTAGAAGGTAAGAGGGTGTATATAAATATTATAGCGAAAACATTTTAAAAAAACATTGTTTTATTTTTCAGAAATGCTGGAAGGGGTTTCAGGTCAGTCAAAAATGAGTAGGTTTGTTGGGCCAAAAATTGCCCTTTTGGGTTCCTAAACTTTCCAATGCTTGTTATGAAAAAAACCCAACGTTAATGATTAGGTGGTAGAAAATGGTGAAAAACATCATTTAAGGAGCTAATTCTCAACAGAGGACATGGTGTTTCAAAACACAGTGCCTAACAGCATTAACCTTGAGGAAGTAATGCTAGGAAGAATTTCCACCATTTCTGCTATCTTGAAAAAAAAGTTAATCCCATTAGCCACAAAACCCCAGTTCATCACCAAGCAGAACAGTAAGTTCGACATCTGCCTATTGAGGATCTCTGGACGTATAGTTTGGTGGGATTTAATTTAAAAAGCAGCACAGAAGAGTAGGAATTTTAAGGAAAAGAGGACTTACAGTACATTGCCTTGGGCCTCTGTCTTCATTGAAGGTGGCAACAAGTTCCTAGATTGCATAATGCTGCTATATTTAGTTTTAGTTGAAGAGAAATACAAACCTGAAAAAATAACAGCTACTCACTGGTTAAAACAGATACATTTGGCATTCCAGCCCACCATCCCTGCACTAACTTGTCATTTCCCCCTCATTGCCTCCCAGGATTATGAAACAGTGACATGCCTACAATTCAAAGTTTCCTATGCTACAACTGTAAAACTCAGATTTGCCAAAAGTATGACTACGACCCCTAGAAATCATCCCATAATTTTATGCACATTACATTTATGGGACAGAGCTTCACATGGTACATACAGTGCTATCAGCATTTTCTTAACAATGCAACTGAAACACCATTGTCTCATTCAAACTTCTCTTCTCACTCTTACAATCAACCAGTCAGAAACACCACGTTCATGATCTCACTTAATTCCCCTCTCCTAACAACTCCAGGAATTCCAAAAAGCGACCTGAAGAGCAGCATTTGATATGATCCCCGGCTAAAATCATACCATGAAAAGCCACTAAAACCGGCTCTCCTACCTAAAGAGAAACGATGCTCGGCTGACTCGAGAT